CATAAGATCTCATTAAATAACTTTGTTAGCAATCGCATCCCTTATTTATCTAAACATTTTCACACTTTAATAGGAATACAATGAGATTCATTAGCCCCACTACTTGTCAGTTTTTTAAAAGCTTCCTTTACCTTATTATCGTATCCTTCAATAAAATGACAAATTTTGTTTTCCTTGAGTTAATCTTCCAAGCAAATAGATGAAACCCCTCTATCATTGAAAGTTTAAAAAAGTAGGTCTCCTATTTATCTTTAATACCATTATCTGTGATCAAAACTTTTTCCTTTTTATCATTTACGCATCTTGCTTGTTTTAAATTTTGTTATTTTTACTCCACTCTTAGCAATCTTATAAAATTTTTTATTCTTTATCCTTTATCTCGATATCATTGTAAAACTTTTTAAATGTTTTAGAATGAGTTTCACTCACAACTTTTTTAGTTTTCTTCTCAACCATACAATATCTTCTTAATTTTCATCATTATTGCATAAATGGATATCTTTAAAACACTCTTTCTTATATTTGAATTTGTCCTGTACACTATCATCTATCACTAAAACTCCTTATTTTTTGAACCAAAACTTTTTAATTCTCCCCAAACTTCTATAGTAATTTTCTTACCTTTTTTAGTCATATCCTCCTACAAGATGCTATCACTTTCCTGGGGACTCCCAAATTCCTTTAGGTAAAAGATTCCGCTTGAAGATTTCTTACTTCTCACCTTTTTAATTGCTACCACCTAATCCTCGAAATTATCACTTGTCAAGGCTTTTGATTTTTACCTATAACACACATTAAGGACACGGACACTTGTCATGTCATTACAATATCCTTAAGAATTACCTTACAATTTTTACAGAGTCTTTTATTCGTGTTCCTTACTAAAAGGAAATTAATACATAACCTTAAGACTCCACTTTTGTAAGTGATGAGATGTTCGTCCTTCTTCTTGAAAGAAGTTTTGCCAATTTTGAAATCATACGCTAAAAAAAATTAAGAATAGATTGTCTTTTATTGTTCAACTCTCCAAAACTAAAATCACCATACATTCTCATATAATGACCTGCTTCTCTTCCTACATGACCAGCCTCCTCCAATAAAGATCCTTTTCAATTTGTGGTATTTGTTGAATCAACCCTTCCAAGTCTTCCCAAAACAATTTCTTAAAACTAGCTTTTACCCCGGCTTAAGATGCATAAGCACTGATAATATTATTGAGAGTGACATCTAACAATCATTTTTAAGGAAACAATTATGTCTCTAATTTTGTTAACTTTAACCACATTCTTTTTCCATTCATTATCAACAACGATGCTCACCCCATTGTGTGTGTTTACTTTTCTTGTATGCCAAAGTTTGAAACTTTAAATATCCTTAGCTTATTTACCAGGCCGTTTAGTATTCAACAAGCACAATATATTAACTTTTTTATGAATGATAACCCTTACTACCTCTATAGATTTGCAATTCAAGGTTCTAACATTTCAAGTATCAAATTTGGACCAACTTCTTTAGCTGCGCTCATCCAAAATAACATAATAGCTTTTGCTCTTTTAACATTATATTCAAGTGCTAATGCGTCGATGCAGCAACTCTAACTAATTTATCATTGTATTTAAGCCATGCAGTACATTACTCACTGGTGATGACCTAGTATTAGTATAAAAGCGTCAATTGTCCATATCCATATAAGATTCAATAAGGTTTTATATTGGCTATTAAGAGCTTAAAACAACTCTCCTCTTTTATTTGAGTTTGGAACAGGCTATAAATATAGGTGGAGTCATGTTCTGAATATATATAACTATATTAAATATTTATTGAGAAATTTTATCTCACTTACAGTACATTCCCACTCGATCTAGATTAACTAGAATTTAATAGGAGTTTCATAATGGTTTGATAAAATAATCAAGAGCTAGGGACTAATGAGAATTAAATATAACAAAATGAGCTAATTCTTTGCAAAATGACAAGTCAAGATTTGAATCTCAATTGAAAGATGTGCAATATTATATGTATTTATTTAGTGTTTAACCATACCTCATGAATGATTGCGTTTAATAATAAGACACTTTATTTAAGGAAAACAAGGAATCGAAAAAGTGTAAAGGAAAGAACAGCTTAAGATTCAAGTAAGATCCAACTTGTAAGCACCAACAGCTTAAGATTACAAGTAAGATCCAACTTGTAACCTTTTACTAACTGCTTATTGGAGAGTTTTATGTCATTGCACGATAAGGAGACTAGGAGAGGCCGAATTACTATAAACCCATAGGAATGGATGGATCAATTAGTTTATGAGATACGGGTGCTCTTCTTTTGATGGGCACCGCAATGATGAAAGAGAGATTCCAGGAAATAAAGAGAAAAGTGTGTTGTGTTGAATGGGACAGTGACAGAAGCCAGCAGCAGGTCAAAAGTTGTGTTGTAAGTTTCGCCCCCCTCCTCTACCAACTTGCACTCTATGCTGCCTTAAAGCATGGCCTTCATAATTTTCTATCATTATGCCACTCAATTCTCTTCTAAATCATCAATTCACTCTCCCTTTCTTCCTAAGTTTCTTTTCCATTTACTTATGCACCCATCATGTTGAGGGATTTTCATTTAAGTTAGATTCCAGGAAGCTGTTTGGTGAGCACCTAAACTTCGGAGTATCAGTTGGAACTCGGAAAATATGGCGTGCTCTGAGATCCATGATAATTACCGTCTTGAACATAGCATTCACGTACGTACTCTATATGTTTGAGGAAATGAATGGAGTTGCAGATACCAATGCATGCTTTACATGGAAAGGTGAGGGTTCAAAAGCCAAAGCCATATCAAACCTATCAAACAACGCATGAAAGGGAGTACTGTTGAGGAAGTAACGGGAGAGATTGCGGTGTAGTGAGAGTCACGCTTGCCAAAATTTCAAAATCCATGTGCTCATACTAAGTAATGTCATTAACAAAAAGCAAGTTGCGACTGAATGTTCTTGGAGTGGCTGTGAAGGTTTCCAGATCTCCCGCAAGAAACCTTGAACTGTGAAGCTGAGGTTCTTTTTCTAAGGACAAAAGAGGAAACAAAAGTTTATACTATGCCTGAGTACTTTTTTTTTTCCTCTCCAGTCAATTAGAACACTTGGATTTTATTTTTTTAAAAAATAAAATTATAAGTTAAAAATTCACTTGTCCTAATCTAGTTAAAAATACTTTAAATTTGTAAGTTCAAACACCTAATATTTTCCCTTTCCAAAATCTTCAATGCGACAAGTCAAAAGCTTAACGTCTCTTGAAGTTGAAACTAATCCAATTTTAATTTAACCGGCAAGGGATATGGATGGAGAGTTAACCCAATCGGGTTACCCGAACGTTTGTTTACAAGAGAAGAAAAGAATTTTTATTTTTTTAATAATGTTTATTATGTTATTATTATTTAAGTTATCATTTTTATTGACCTTTTAAAGTTAGTACTAAAACTGTCAATTAGGGTCGAACTCAAATTTTTAAGCCCAAACATAACTAGAGCCGGGCCTATACTTTGGAAGAAAAAATGATAATTCGAGCTTAAAAGGGCCAGCCTTTTTAAGCCCGAAAATAAAAGGCCGGCCCTTTTAAGCCCTTTTATTTTTTTTAAAAAAATTATAATATAAAAAATTAAAAGATTAAATATATAACCAAAAGAAATAAACACATTAAACTCATTTGCAGTGGCGGAGGGAGGGGGGCCAACAGCGGCCATAGCTTTCCTAATTTTTTAAAATCTTATTTATGTTATATAAGTGTTCCATACTTTCGGCCCCCTAAAATTTAAAAAAACTTTATAGTATATATATTTTTTAATCTTAGCCCCCTTTATTTTTAAATCCTGGCTCCGCCCCTGCTCATTCGTCTCTCCTTCATTTATTCATTAAGATTTATCTAATACTGTTAGCCAAGTTTAATTTTAATGTTATTATTTGATATTAGATCTGAATGTTTAAGTTTTTTATTTACTGTGGTGTAAATTAATTTAAATTTATTTTCTTAAACTTAATTTTATATATAATAACTTTTTTTATAATTATAAATATATTTTTTAAAATTTTAAATTAAAAAAGTAAAAAAAAAAGGGCCAAGGCTCTAAGGGCCGACCCTTTAACCCTAAGGGTTAGGGTCAGGCCTTATAAAAAGAAACTCTAAAACATGATCGAGCTTATTAGGATTAGTCCATTTAGATCCTAACCTTAACTGATAGCTCTAGTTGGCACAAGAGGTTTTTTAATTAATTTTTATTCTATTCTTTTTTTTTTTGGTTATTTTATTTAAGTCGATAGGTGAGGAGCTTACTCATGTCTTATCTCTTTTGCATAGACAACAAAGGCTAAAATAGAATAGATATTGAGTTTAGCCTAAAAATCCACAAGGTGGGATCTCTTGAACTCGAAAAATTATCGAATTGGTCTCTATTTTTTATATTAATTTTTCATTTGATCCATGTAATCTTCATAATATGATTTTTTATAGATCGATTCTCAAGCATAATTATCATTTAAAAATTAATGATAATTATACTGACACATAATTTGATATTTGTATTTAAATTTTCTATAAATCAACTGGTAATTTCGCACAGGTACTTTTTTTTTTTTTTAATATCTACAGATACGTATTGCCTACACATTAATCATATACCTTCGGTTCCGCTTACGAGCAGTCTTCCCTAGCCAGGTGTTAATCTTGGGCAAGAGCGACAAACGGATCCTAATAAGTGGAGAAACAAAAAAAGAGAATAGACAAACGAGCCGGGCCCATTCTTTTTAGGCTTGAAAACAACCAAGCCCTTTTTTTGTTTTTTAATAAAACGAAAACATACATTAACAATTAAACGCCAGTCAGCTCATCGAGTTCAACATGCAAGGGCAACCAAGCCCATTGAATAAACAGTTCCTGAACACTAAACGGACGGTTTAGATTTAAAAAAATTGAAAAATAGGGACCAGAAAGTAAATGACATTTTGAAACATGTAAACTGCGCAATACACCCAACAATTTATTTGTCCTTTTATTGCAGCCATAAGATGAGACATCCCTTCCACTGATACTCTACAACTGAGAAATCAATATTCAGCAGCGGCCATCTTGTTCTCAGATCAGAATTAACATTACAGACACATAAACTCTAGCACCAAACAGATTCACTGCCTAGCTGAGGGATCTACAGCTTCGAGGCAGCTTCTTTGTCCAAGAACCATTTTAACTCAACCTCAGGTGACACCAATTCAACCGGCAGCTTATCAGAATTCTCAGTGGCTCGCAGCGCAGTATGGACTGCATGTTCTTCACCAGCACCAGTGGAGGTCACCACCATGGCTATGTAATCAGAAGAATTGATAACTGGGAAGGTAAACGTTATTCTCTCCGGCGGTGGCTTTGGGGAGTCCTTAATGAAGGTAACCCATCTTTGATTCTCTCTCACAAGGGGATGCCCTGGGAATAGAGAAGCTACATGCCCATCAGGGCCCATGCCAAGCAGCATCAGATCAAATTTTGGAAATCCGCTGGATGATGATACTGCTAGCACATTGCTCTCAACCAATCGCCTAAGACATGCCTCGTAATCATCAGCCGCCCCCTCCGCTGGCAAGGTATCGTTGATAGCATAAACATTGCCTGAAGGAATTGGCACCTGCCAACAGAAACACAAAGAAGATATTAGCAGGTAAAGCTGTTCATGAAGTATCCAATTAGGACAGTAGGAAGATGGTAAACTTATAGTAAGTTACGCTATTCACAAGTAATGAACGGTATGACCCATCTCAGGATCATAGCCTAGTTAGAGTCAATTGTAGCATTCTGCAAAAGAATAAACCAAATAACTTGAGAGTTGAGAGTGCCTTCAACTTGCCTGAAATCTTTACCCTCTTACGTCGTTCAATAGATATAAGAATTTACTCATCAGACTTGTGAACATGACACCTTTTCAACAAGGGAAGCTTCAGAGCTTTTAGGAAGTATTTAGTGAGATTATGATGTGCACACGCACTTGCTTACCATACATAAGACATGACCCTATGTTTGGGTATATCCCCGTGATACTAGTATCCTACCACTCACTTCATCGCTTCATAAATATTTCCAAGCAAGAGTTATAAGGAAAACATGTTCCATCCAATTCCTTAATGGTATTTCTTGCATGCCATCTGCTTTTAACAATGCTTTCAACTTGAAATTGGAGCCTACCACCACTTGTTGTGATAAACGCAACAAAAGTTTCTGTTACAAATAATGTTGTTTTATTTTCAGAAGTTAAATATTCTGTTTCATAAAAACTGTAACTTCTACTCAAAGAAGAATATATAGACACACCAGCCTGAAGTGAAAATACAAAAGATAATAAAGATAAAATTCAAAGACTCATCCAATACCTCATCAACCACCATATCCCAACCAAGGTAGTGGTTGATGAAGTTGAATATTTAGATCCTTTACGACACCTGATAACCCATCATCAATAATTAAACATACCTTGGAGAGAAATCCATCATAAGCAAGCTTGTAGTTACTATCTTCATGAGTCTTTGGCACCACCCTCTCATCCAACCAAAACACATGCCACTTAGACCAATCAATACTGTTAACAAGGGGAGGTTCCACCAATTTCCTGAAATCACAACAAGAGACAGCACGATCAACAAACCCCACAAACTAATATACTGCAATTGATATGATCACATGATATTCCATTGGGGGGGGGAATTGGAACATTTTAATATGAAAAAGCAAAATTTTCACCAAAAAATAGAGAAGTGACCTGATATTATCGATCAAGGTGCCACCAGACAGAACGACAGTGAAAGACCCTTTCTCCTTAGTGAACTTATTAGACAAATCGGCGATGTAATTGGCCAGAGACACGGCCAGGCCATCCTTTTCGAAGACCTCTACCTTCTTGTTCTCGGACTTGGCAGTCTCTGCCATGGAAGCTTTCACCTGAGCGAAAACCTATAAGGATTCTTCCAGAGAAACCCCTTTATAATGAAAAGGGCGAAAGAGGAAATACTGTGGAAGGTGGAGTGAGAAGAAGGACGGAATTGAGTTGAGAAAGTGGTGGATTTAGGATTCGGGAAGATTTGGAACAGGAATTGGATGGACTAGAGGCCATAAGAGCGACACAGCAACGAGGGTCTCAGGGAACAATCATAATTAGTAACTGGACTTCGAAACGCGATAGAATTTGAAAGAAACCGCACAATATCAACCCATCGCGAATCCATTGTCCTTCCTGTTCCCGCAGCTGTAGTAGGCTGGCGACCTTACCTTCTCTCTCTGCCAACAGTTAGGGGCGCCCTTCCCCCGGATCTTCCCCCTCTTTTAAGTGAGTGCATTTTCCTTTTGGTTAAGTTGCATATTTTCCTGACATTAATACATCAATGCCAACCATTAAAAATATTAATTGAGACTTAAATTTGATCATCATGCTAAGGTGAATTCGAACCAAAATATATTTTGATTCTAAACTACTCCCTCCGTTTTTATTTGTAAAAAAAAAAGAGACACAATTTAAAAAAATTGATCAACTATATTAATCGTGTCTGAAAATAAAAGAATTGAATTATAATATCATTTATTAATTATGTTAACTAAGCATTTATTAATTATTTTTTATGATTATCAATGATAAAATTATGAGAGGCAATTTAAAAATTTTATAATAAATGTTTATTAAAAATATGATTTTACTTATATAAAAAAAAAGAGAAAATTAGTTTAATGGTATCAAAAAATACAACTCTCATAAATTATGAATAAAATTTTTAAATATTTTAAAATATGACCTATTCATAAAATTAATTAGATGTTTTTTATCTTCAAAATAAATTTATTATTAAAATAAAATATATTTAATTTAAATAATCTTTAACTAATTGGATCTTTCATTTTTATCATTAAAAATCATATTATGTGTGCTTCCTCTTTGATTTATCATCTTTGACTGTTTTCTTTATCAAATTTTTTGATATGATTTTCCTAAATCACTATCTTTATTGCAAAGTTTTTTCTTTTTCTCCTTCTTTATTTTTCTCAGATATTACGACGAGAACATTAGACATTGAAAAGAAACCTCCATTACTAATCTATAATACTATATCATTGATATATGACTAGGGGTGTTCAACTTGTACGCATCCTAATTGGCCCGATATCATCACGATCATATTGAGATGGGTCTCGTCCTGGCTTAAAAATAATTGGAATGAAACTTTACTGAACGGGATAGGAAAGTGGTTCGAGATGAGATACAGAATTACCATTGGGATGTTCCATCCCATCCCGAATATTATATATATATATATATATTATTTTTTATTTTAAAAATATACATTACATATATTAATTATATTAATATAATTTATACTTATATTAATTATATCAATTATAATTTTAATACATGCAAATCTTATATAAAACTAAAATTTTTTATGTTGATAATTTTAATGACATAGAGTAAAAAAGATGATATCTTTCTTTATAATATATTAATTATATTAATACAATTTATTCTTATATCTATCTATTTAAAAACTTTTATTTATATCTTATTTCTTGCTTTATTTTCGGAAGAGTAATTAGCTTAGCACATTTCAATTAAAATAGAAGAACAATGATTTGATGTTGTGCTTGGCTTGCCTATTGTTGCCGCTCTTATAGCTTAGAAATCACTTATAATTATTATCATAATGTGAGTTGTGATTAATATAATTCAATAATTGACTTTAAATTATTGTGATTTATGTACTTGTGTTGTTTTGATTTTAAATTTAATAAATTATATGATTTAAAATTTTAATGAATGTTATTATTTAGATCTTTTTTCAACATTGTTCAATTTATTGGGACAGTAGATGTCCTAGTCCCATTCCAATTTTTTATGGAACGGGACGAGACATGGAACAAAAATTCAGTCTTGATCTATTTTTCAGGATAGGACACGGGATAGGGGTGTTCTAGTTTCATCCCATCCTGTGAACACCCCTATATACGGCTGTATATTAATGATAAATAAATTGGTAAGTTTTTGCTGATATGACTTATATATCATTGATATATAATATTATATCAATGATATATTATCGTAGATCAATATAACCAGATAATCATACATAAACTTGTTTATAATTGATATACAGTCGTATATCAATGATGTAATATCGTAGATTAGTAGCATGAAAATTACATAATCATTTGTCCAAAACTGATCAAACATAGTCCATAAAAAATGTTGAACTGTTAGCTTATCACAAAGAATTAAATACCTAAACTAATAACATAAAAAATGATGAATCTGTAGCTTTGTTTCCCCATCAGCATGCTCCGTTCCATCGAGTACCGTCAATGTATCTCACCTCACATTTGTCTCTCGCCATTGTAATTGTGGCTCACTTACACTGCTTTGTTATCTCGCATTCGTCTCTCTTAAGTTAAGTTCCGTCTTCCCTTTTGCATTTGTCTCTCTTAATCTAAAGATTTCTTGTGTTTTAAATCTTTTAATATTCAAAAAAAGCAGATATTAAAAAAAGTAGTTTTGTAAATTAATTATAAAATATTAAATAATTATTTAATTTTTGAAATTTAAAAAAGAAGAGACTAGTTTTTTACTTGATCTTACAATATGGGCTATCTGTGCAAAAGCCCCAAAAAACAAGCTAAAAGTTATAGTTTCTTTTATAAATGAAAATAAATGGAGTATTCTCTAAAAAGCACCCAGTGTCTTGAACCATTTGTTGTATGTTAATTTTTTTTCTTAAAGTAATTAAAATATAATATATTTTCAAGCTCACCTAATATGACAAGTGACATTGTGGTCAAAATAAGTTCTAGTCAGCATTTTTAATGATTAAAATTGAGATATTTAATTATTTTAGGAGCGAAATTTGCTACAACAAGTAGTTTGGAATACTAAGTGTTACTTGGAGAATAATTGAAGAGCAAAAATACACTTTAATCATTTTAATCATTTTTTATCTGATATTAAACAAAAAGTATTAATTACTTTTTTTTGTAATTTGTTTGGCCAACTTTTCTTTTGTGTTAATCCAAACCAAGCATAATTTTTTGGCAGAAGAACCAAATATAATTTATTAAACTGGTTAATTTGACATGTTATATTTTTTCATTTGGCCAGCGAAGAACCAAGCATAATTTATTAAACTGGTTCATTTGATTTGTTATTTTTCCATTGGCTGAAAAACTTGTTATTTTCATTAATTCAATTTGAATAGCATCCACACACACGCACGCACGCACGCACGTATTGAGAGGAAGGCGTCTAGGACTCAATACAAAGAACCTGTAAACCAAAAATGAAACTAAGCTAATCACAATACTGGTGTTTCCACTCTCCTAACACCAGAATTCCAAGCTCCGTCGGTGTAGACGGTAGTAATCTCTATGGAAATCTAATATCCAGTATCACACATTTATATTTTTGTTATCAAATGGGCTCAACTCAATTTGGACCTATGTTCTAGCATCCACATTGTGAATTGTAGTTGATACACTGAATAAACAATAGGTGACCGCGTGCGAGAAGGTGTGAATAATAAAAACGGCGAGGTTTCTTCACAATAATATGCTTGAAATGAAACCCTCGGTTCACTTGTCCTTTTATTGCTACAAGTATAAATCCTTTCCACCGGTTATCTGTCGCTGAGACAGAAAAACTTCAGCAGTACCTCCGCTCTCACATCAAAATTAAATTACAACCACAAATACACAAGCACAACACATAGATCCATTGCTTAGTTGCGGGATCTACAGCTTTGAAGCTGCTCCTTTGTCTAAGAACCATTTTAACTCCTCCTCAGGTGATACCAATGCAACAGGCAACTTATCAACATTCTCAGTAGCTCCAAGCGCAGAGTGAACCGCATCTGCTTTTCCAGCACCGGTCGCCACAATTGCAGTGTAAGCTGAAGAATTAATGACCGGAAAGGTAAAAGATATTCTCTCCGGTGGTGGTTTCGGCGAGTCCTTGATGAAGGCAACCCATTTGTCAGTCTCTTTCATGAGAGGATGTCCTGGGAACAGAGAAGCCACATGCCCATCAGGGCCCATACCAAGCAAGATCAGATCAAATTTAGGAAGTCCGCTGACTGATGATACTGCTATCACATTGTTCTCGACCATGTGCCTGACACATGTTTCGTAATCATCAGCTGCTCCCTCAGCTGACAAGGCATCGTTGATGGCATATACATTGCCAGTAGGAATTGGAACCTGCCAAGCGAAACACGCAGAAAACATTAACTGGTAAGTTTGATCATAGAGTATCGGATAAGAAAGTTGGAGGATGGTATATCACAGCCAATTGCAGTGCTTTAAAGCATTCCAGACATGAAAAACTTGAATAACTTGAGACTGCCTTTAAAGGGAGGCTTCTGAACCTATGAGAATTTACTCACCAAACTTGTGAGCATTGATAACCATTCAATCCAACAAGGGAGGCATCTGAACTTTTAAGCAATGTTTAGTAATATTATGACGTCCACTTATCATGCTTAAACCCATAGTTTAGTATAAAATTCAAGCAATGTTATACAATTCCTCCAAGGCGTTACTCACATACTATCTTTTATAACAACAACGCCTTCAACTCGAACAGACATGCATTTCAATGGCACTAGCAGGGCCAGTTAAAAGTCCCGCATTTTAAACATGAAACCAACCCTCTTTTCTTACCACAATGGAGTGAAACAAAAGTACTATTTTGTTGCAAATCATCTCAAAGATGAATAATACTTGTAGATTCCTTAGCAGTAAAAAACTTGAATCCTCTATGACACTCGATAATTCGTGATCAATACCTTGGAGAGAAATCCATCGTATGCAAGCTTGTAGTTACTATCTTCGTGAGTCTTGGGCACTACCCTCTCATCCACCCAAAACACATGCCACTTAGACCATTCAATAGCATCAACATGGGGCGGTTCCACCAGTTTCCTGACATAAAACATCACCAATTTTCCCCAATGAGAAACTACTATTCATGTTCTGAGATTGACAAGCTACCCAAGCTAATTCACTGCAATTAATGCAAATCCCATCGAAAAAAAAATCGGAGCATTCTAACATGGGAAAAGCATAATAGTAAACTGACCTGAGATGATGAATTAACGACCCACCAGACAAAGCGACGGTAAAAGCTCCTCGCTCTTTAGTGAACTTAGCAGACAGATCGGCGACGTAATCGGCCAAAGGCACGGCCAGTTCATCCGTTTCGAAGACTTCCACCTTGTTCACCGACTTTGCAGTCTCCGCCATCGACGCCTTCACTTGGGGGTGAAATCTCTTGGGATTCGCGCTAATCAGAAAAACCCCTTTATAGGTAAGAGCGCGGGAGAGGAATTTCTGCGAACACTGGGGCGAGAAGAGGGAAGGCGAAGGGGACGAGGGTGAATTTAGGATTCGCGTAGAAGGGGAAAACAAAGCGGAGGCGCTAGAGGCCATTCAAAGAGTGCCCAGTCGCTTTATCGGAGCAGCGAGTAGTTGCCACACTTTTATCACGAGTCAATGGGATTGGGAACAACATCGTACATGAACGAAACACATAAGTACCATTCCATTTGTGACGCTGCGCCTGAGAATAGGGACGCGTCGACACTTAGCTAGTGAATGAGACACACTTGGCTTCCACACAACTGCATGTTCCAATTTCGTGTTTAATGTAGCGTTCAGATTTGATGATTACTATTCCGAAATTTGATATTTTCTCTTGGGAAGTTTGTTTTTTTTAACAGAATTAAAAACCGAAACATATTATAAGTTCATAACGCAAAAAAAGTGAAATATAACAGCAGTACTGCGCAGTTCATATTTCACTTATAGAAAACATACTGAGGCTAGGTGTTTGTTTTAAATTATTTTATATTTATTTTAAAATAAAACACCTTTATAAAGATAAATATAAAATGATGTTATTAATTTAAAGATAAATAATTATTTTATTGGAGGATAAAATTTGATAAAAAAAATCTTACATTCTTCAATAAAAGGAAGTAACTATTTGTCCTTATAATTTTAACGTATTTTAATATAAGTTCTTAAAAAATTTTTATTATTTTAAATTCCTTTAATTTATTCTGTGTGCAATATTAATCTTTTTTATTTTTTAATATACCCAAAAAGACAATAAGATAACACTACTAGTGTTAAATATGTTTACTTGTGATCAACACTATTAATTTGTACTAAGCAAAATTATGATTAAGTAGATTAACAACATTATCTACCCAATTCTATTTCATGTTTTGGGTTTCCATTTATTGAAGTATAATTCTATTTTGACACAAAGATTAAAAATGTTAGTCACACATCAGCATATTTAACATTGTTAGTGACATTTCATTATTTTTATGGACATACTAAAAAATAAAAGAATTAATGTTGTATATAGGATAAACTAAAGGGATTTGAAAAAAAAAAAAAAACTACAAAGACCTACATCAAAGCACATTAAACTATAAGAGTTAATAGTTAAAGTTTTCACATTCTCGGATTTTTTATAAGAGTTAAAAGTACAAATTTACTTTTGAAGTTTTCACTCTAACACATATCCTTATATATTTTTTTGGCACAATTTTAACCAAATATTTTTTTTTTAAATTTAGCACAATGTTGCCTGGCCCTTAATCTTTGACACTTTAGACTTTAGGCCGTTACTTTGACTCTCAATGGCCTAGTTGGAAGTCATCAGAAATATTTTAAAAAGTAAAAATAAAAAAATTATATCCGCTTATTAAAAAAAAAAAATTATATCAATGTACGCCTCGTCTTCTCCCCTTCCAAGATTTCTTCCACGGATGGTAGTTTGTCTTCTTCATTCCTTCTTCTACCCCGTTCTTCTTCAGACTTCTTTTGCAAAACCTAGAAAAGGGTTTAATCAAAGCCCAAATCTCATGCCCCCTGGTTCGTTGACATCCTCGCACAATAGGAGAGCCCGAGCACAAGCTTGAGCTCAAGAAGGTAATGGAATCCAAAGCCTCAATTTCTGCTTGTAGAGCGGCGTGGCTAGGGAGGGGAAGGAAGAGCTCGAGCATGATTTGGGTTGAAACTCACCGTGTCTCTTCCCTCTGCAATCATGTTTCGTCGATCTGGGTCGACCACGATGGGTTCAATCAAATGTTTAGGATCTAGGTTCGTCGAACTACGTTGAAACTGACCGTGTCTCTTCCCTCTGGATCTAGGTTCTTGCTTTGTTTTGTTTTTCGTTTGGCGGAAATTTTTGCAGCAGCGCTTTTTTAACCTTTCTGGGAAACCTTGTTTGATTTGAAGGGTAGTTAAAAATAAATAGAAAAGTGAATAAAATAAAAAAAATTATTTTTTAATAAAATCTTGTGCCTTAAGCCAAAAAAAAAAATAATAATTTATTTTTAAATTAATATTATTTTTTATATTTACTTCTATTTAATAAAATATTTTATTTTAAAATGCATATAAAATAATTTATTTATGAACACTTATAAAAAAACTACATTAATTATATATTAAAACATTTCAAATATTTATATTTTAAAATGAATATCTAACTTTTTTAAAAAAATTATATTTTTAACAAAATTGGGAATAATACTTTTTTTTATTATTTTTAAGAAAATTTTTCCTAATTTTTATTCTCTCTATTTTTTCCTCGTTTAAAAAAAAAGGTAAAATTTCTTTTCACCATGAAAAATATGAATCTGTTTTCTTATACTGTGAATCATGGGTGATTCATTGAGACTTTTCGAAATATGATCATTGCCTATTTACCTTATTACTTGCACGCATCATTTTGGTTAAAGGTACTCAAAGAACTAAACTTCTACACAAGCCACCCAGGGTGTGAAATAGAGCCTCATATAAAAACCAGAGAGTAATATCATTGCTCTACCCTACGCTTGCAGGTTAAAGAGCTTGGAAGCAGCGCCTTTATCCAAGTACCATTTCAATTCCCCATTAACTGGAGAGACTAATTCAACTGGAAGCTTGTAACCTTTCTGATCATCTTACAATACAGAGTCAACTGTATTTGCTTTACCCGCCCCTGAGACCACGATTGATATATGGGAAGAAGAATTAAATAGAGAGTCAACTGTATTTGCTTTACCAGCCCCTGAGACCACGATTGATATATGGGAAGAAGAATTAATCACTGGCAATTTAAAAGTGATTCTCTCTGGAGGTGGAATTGATGGTCCCTCAGGAAGGAAACCCATTTCTGATTTTCCAGCAGTAGAGGATGATCTGAAAACAGAGAAGCCACGTGGCCATCAGGACGCATATCAAGAAGCATCAAGTCGAATTTTGGAAGCCCCAGTGGGTGATGAAGCTATCACTTTGCTCTCAACGAAGCTCCTCACAGTTTCCTCGTAAGCTTTTGCTGCCTTTTCAGCTGGCTGGGTATCATCAATATCAAAGGCATGTATATCGGAATCAGGAATTTGAACCTACCCAATAACCATGAAAGCCAAATCAGACTTAAAAATAACCTTGTGGTGCAATACAATATGGTAGTAAGATGTATACCTCGGTGAGAAATCTATCGTGGACAAGCTTGTAGTTACTTTCCAGGTGATTCTTTGGCACGACTCGTTCATCCACTAAAAAAAACATGACACTTGGACCAATCTATAGAGCCTGTATATGTAGCTTCAGCCAATTTCCTTCTAAATCACAACATTGGCCATTTTTCAAAAGTTTTATTTAGTTTAAAATATAGAGTATGGGATAAAATTTATAATTATTTTTTAATTATATCTCTACTTTATTTAAAATAATGTATTAAAATTTTGATTATTATTATTAATAAAGCACTTATATAAAGAATTTAAGGAGAGTAAAATTAAAAATATATAATTTTTTTTTAAAAATATGGTTTTGTCTCACCCAAAAATGCAACCCGGGTACTTTTTAAATGTAACAGATTTAATTTTCAATCATTGTTTCATTTACAATAACGATTAATAAAAGTTAACGTCAATCATTACGTTGCATTAGAATTGTATGCACCAAAGCTTGTCTTCACATATCATCAGTAACATGTGGTATTCTCAAAGGTTAAGAGCGTGGAAAGATAAAAGATCTTTTTTCTTGATGGGAAATCAACTATAATTAATGTTGTTTACAAAGAGATATTTAAGAACTTGATATAATTGAAATTTAAATTTAATAATTGTACTTAATATGGGCATTAAATGCTTATACTATTTAAATCATTAAAATTCAAATCAATAATGTAGATAAACCCACTTATTCATAAATCTCAAGTGGAATATTAATTTATGATCATTGATATAAATTTTAATGATTTAAATACTCAATACCTATTCTAAGTAAAGTTATTGAATCCAAATCTTGTAATTGATATAACAAAATTGTATTTGTCATTGGCTAATCTTTACTTACCATTAATGCTGTCTCTGAATGTTTTGAATGAAATATCATTGTCCATCTAACCAATCCTTCACGTACTATTTCATTACATCTAGGATTTGCATATTACTTATAACAAATAATTCTTATAAATTATTAAACTATGTCTTATCATTACACATAACTAATAATTAATTATATATGACTTATATTAAAAAAATTGCTTTCATACATACTTACTGGTTAAACTAACAACACATGAAACACCATGCATGACGAACGCAAAAGAAAAACATTTCATCAATCTTTGTATACAACAGACCACAATTTATTTCATCAAAAAACGCGAGATCGTAATCGAACAATGGGGAACAAAGAAATAAATATGAAGTGATTGATCTTAATAGCGTTTGTCAATGTGGAGCTCTTGCTTGAAGAGCCTCGAAGCAGCAGCTCTATCCAGGTACCACACAAGTTGTCCGTCCAGAGGTGAGATGAATTTAGCAGGAATCTTGCGAGGAGCCTGTGGATCAATTTCTTCATTGAGAGCAGAATAAACTGCATTTGCATTATCTTCACCAGTCACCACCATTGCTATGTAGGAACTAGAATTGATCACCGGAAGAGTCAGAGTCAATCGCGTCTCGGTCTCGTGCACCACGTGAGTCACCCACCTGTCCCTCTCATCAAGAACAGGATTGTTGGGGATCAGAGAACCTACTCGTCCATCTGCTTCCATGCCCAGCAACATCAGGTCGAACTTAGGATGGCCCGACGCGGCGGATCTTAAATATCCTCCTTCAGTCTGCTCTCTGAGGTTCCTCGAGTAACGTTCGGCTGCTTCTTCCTTAGCGGATATGTCGTAGTCAATGGTAACAACATTTAAAGTCCCAGCCTTTTGCACCTGCGCAATAACATTCACGCTACATGTTTCGATGTATTTCACGTAATGGAACCGATGAAATTAAGCTCGATACGTACCATGGAGAGAAATTCTGCGTAGGCGACCCTGTGGAGCATCTCGTTGGGGAAAAATCGCGTTTTCCTTAACGTATAACTCGGCAAGAACACTTCCTCTTCCACCCAAAAAAACTGCCATTTGGACCAATCTATTCTGTTGCTGTATTCAGATTTCACCAGATTGCTGAAAATCCCAACCAAATATAAAACAATGTCATCAAACTATATATATACATTCATTATCG